GGATACATAGTGTGTTCTGGGAAGTGCAGGGATGGGGAGCGAGGAAATTCTCCTTTATGCTCCAACTTTGCTGCCTGATAACAAGAGGTACAAAATGAAATGTTCTAGTGTTGTAAACAGTGTCTTTTCCCTATTCACCTCTTTCATGCTGGCCTTAATTTTATAGGCCTCTAAAACATTCTGCCTCAGACAACATTGCCAAGATTATTGTATTTACATTATTAGCATTTATTCTTTTAACAAGTAGCTCTACAACAGGTTGTGAAATTTTACTGTGGTTTTATGTTTAACTTCCTGGCTGGCTGGCTGGGGATTTTGTCTTCTACTTAGAGTAGGTTTGGAGCCTAGAATTGCAGTTTCTGTTTTCCGTTTTCTTGAGCATTGATATTTCTTTGTTGTGCATTTCACAAATAGAGGTAGATATTCTTTGTGGCTGTCACTAAAAAATTTAATATGGCTAGACTCAGTGTTTTTATTGCTGAATGCTCAACCAAAAAAATCAGAGCGTGGGACTATTCCGAAGTATTTGCTGTAACATTGTAAATCTCTTCAGCTAGAGCACTGTGTTGAATGGACACTTTTTTGAAAATATGCAAGGGATTTTTTTTTTACTTGTTGGATTTTTAGGTAACTTCTAGAAGTGTCTCTGACTGAGAGGGTACCGCTGCCCTTTCTGACTTAAGCTCCAGTACTTTAAGAACTACTGATTTTCCACTAGAACAGAAAAATCTTCAGAAGCACTTGAGGTCTTTTCAGTACCAGAAGTGCACTTGCTTTGTGTATTTGTCGCATCATCTCTTCCCATCAGTGCTCAGATATCCCCCTTCCTCTTAACTACAGCAATTGTTTATATGGAAACTGAGCACTAAGACTGTTTAAGATATTTTTAGATGCTTTTAATGTAATCCAGTAGCTGTAAAAGAGAAGAGCATGTTCCGAATGACCATCTGGCTCTCTGCAGGGGCTTAGCAGATCACAAGTAGTTCAGTAGACCCAAGTTGAGGAGCACTGACGCTGGTTTCCCGCTTGAGACAAAGCTGCTATAGCTGCTTCTGCCCATGTGTTCTCATTCCAACTCTGCATGTTGCACTGTGGATAAAAACCAGCCATGTTGGCACAGAAGAGGAAAAAGATGGGCTGGAGTAAGGAAGAGCAAAGCTTATGAGTTGTTTAGCTCCTTTCTGAACGGTTGGTTCTGTAAGCAAGTTTCCCATCTGGCAAGACAAAGCCGTGTCAGCACAGCAAAGGGGCAGCATGCAGGCCAGAAGGGCCAGGCTGGCAGGGGAAGCATGAAGACTGCTGAAAAATAGAGAATACGTAGTTTCATGTATCGTCTTTGTGAAAAATAAGCATCTGACCAATTTGAGTGGTCAGCTACCTTTATTTATTTGTGATCTAGGGCTTGCAGAATCACTAAGTAGTTGAGTTTGGAAGGACCTCTGTAGGTCATGTTATCCAGCTCCCCTGCTCAAGCCACATCACCTAGAGGCGGTTGCCCAGGACCATGGCCAGACAGCTTTTCAATATATGAGAAAGATTCAAAATTTAGAATTTCTTCTTTTTATTTTCTGGGTTTTTTTAAACTCTAAATATCTTTTAATTGGAGTAGGTGATCATCCATTGATTGTTCAGTTTGCTGCTAAAGAAGCACAAGTTTTGTGTGATGCTGCCCGTATCGTCTGTCCTTTTGCAGATGGAATAGACCTAAACTGTGGTTGTCCTCAGAGGTAAAGTTTTGAAAAAGCTGGGTAAATATGATGAAATAATTTGAAATTAAAGAATGCTGGTCTTCATTTTCATAGTAATTTCTGTATTAAGTTAAAAATAGACTTTGATAGAGAAACAGCTTTTTAAATTGTTAGAAATGTCTATGTGGCAAGACTGTTCTGGGTGGTCTGGGATGCGTGTCACCATGGTGAGACTGGGAAAACCAGGGATATTTGCCAACTTGCCTTTTTTCATTTCTGAGATATCGAGTGTTGGCTCGGAAGCGAAGTGTCCATCCCTTCTGAACAGCTGTTAAATATGCATTACCAAAAGGAGCTTGCTGCCAATAATTTGAGAAAGGATGTGGCAATTCTCAAAATAATGAGGCAAGTCCTTGATGTCTCAGCTTCTGCAAGTGAAGGATAGTCTCTAAAATATAATTATACAGATTACATTATTCAGGAAGTGCTGAAAATAATTTCTTCCATCTTTTATTAGGTGTATAAGTACTGTGAATTAATGATCTACTTCTCATTTAAATTGATAAAGATTTTGTCTTGACAGTGAAACAGAGTAGTAATGCACAAGTGAAGATTCTTGCTACTTGGTTCAATGGAGAACCATTTATTACATGCTTGTCAGGCAGTCTTTTTCTAAGTTAAGACCTTAAAAATAAATGTAGGAAAGCAAAAGATAATATTACAGTGCAAATACTTCATTTGTCTATTCTAACTAGAATTGTCTTGACTTAAAATTATCGTATTTAAGGAAACTTTTCTGGAGAGATCTGAGACTTTAGCATGGAAGCATATTTTTTTCCTAAGCTAACTACAGTTGAATATGCCAAACTGTAAGTTCCTTTTAGGCCAACAATACCTGCTTACATCCTTTGTCGCTTGTGCACACTGGTTTCAAAATAACAAAACTTGAGGCACTTTATCTCCCTTTATATGAAAAATAGTTTAAGAAAAAAACTGCTGCTGTTAAGTGGAAGCAAATCAATCAAAAGAAAGTGTTTTGCAGTTGAGGGAACACAGAGTGTTACTGAAATCATATCCTTACTTGCACTTCAAAAATCTTCCTTTTCAACCCAAAGTAATTTTCTGTTTAGAAGAAATCCATGACTCAATGGAAGGGTAAACATCAAACTATTTATTTTATGTATGATCTAAATCATTATTGATTAAATGTTGATTTATCTTCCTTGTGACTCCACTTTGTGGACAGAAAATTGAACTGGAAGAGATTAGTAACTTGCCCAAAGTTCTAACAGCACAATGGAGACTAAATCGGGATCTAAAAGCTGGTGTCAAACTGCAAATCAATCATTGATCTACAGCCAGTACTCCCTCTGTTTACTCAGCCACACATTCTAAAGGTCATAAGGAAAGAAAGTTATGTATTTGACTGAAATTGATCTGCATTTTTTCAAATGTAGAATACAAATGTCCTTTTTCTTTTAAAGATGGGCAATTGCAGAAGGTTATGGTGCTTGCTTAATAAATAAACCAGAGCTGGTTCGAGATATGGTGAGACACGTACGGAATCAGATCGACAACCCTAGATTTTCAGTATCTGTTAAAATAAGGTAGGTCTAACTTAGGTGTTCTTTATGGTATGTGGAAGAATCCTAATTTTTGTTAAAGAAACACATTAGTGTAATAGTTACACTATGCTTTAATATACGTGATTCTGTTAATGTAATATTACACATTATAGTAATTTCCTTACAGGTGAAGACTGCTGAGATTTTTTGACCCCAGATAGCGAAAGAATGTCTGGGGCAAGTAATCCCAAACTTAGGTGGTAGAACCAGCACAGCCTTTGCCTACTTACCCAGATAACATAGTGACTGCTAGAGTTTTCTCGCAATCCAAGCAACATGAAAGTACAAGTTGAAAGGTCTAGGGTTCCATAAAAGAAAAGCAATGCGTAGTATGTATCATCACAAGGGTTTACTTTGTGAGCTCTTGGAGGCCAGAGACGCAGTTGCTGTTGGCTGTAAATGGAAGGGTAACAAAACTGGGAACTGATCCCCACAGCTGCTCTAAGGAACACATCCTGCTTCTCTCTATCACTTTCTAAACTTCCGTAAACTGTTGCCTTGCGTTGCTTTGTACCACTTCATCTGCTGTTTATCCACACGTCCTGTGTGGCTTTTGCATATTTGTCAGCTAACTTTTAACTCAGTTTTCAATCCTTCATGAAGGGAGAACTATTATAAACTGATATTTATTTCACAAAATATGCAAAATAATGATGTTTATTTTAGAATCTTTTGGGCACCCTTGCTCAATTTCTATAAAATTTACCATGTATATTTCAGATATGTGATATAATCAGGAAATGCTAAATTAAATAGTGATTTCCATACATAAAACTCCTATGTCTTTATTTAAAAAAAAAAACCTCTTTATCTTCCAATAGTAATATTTTCTTTATACTGTTACTTATACAAATCTGTGGTAACTTGTCCTTATGGAGGAGGGCTTTTTATACAGTTCAGGTAACTTAGTATCCAATGTTTTTATTCCTTGGAATTTTAGGATCCATGAGGACTTAAAAAGAACAGTTGACCTGTGTCAAAAAGCTGAAGCAACTGGAGTTTCTTGGATTACAGTACATGGGAGAAGTGTAGAAGAAAGACATCAGCCTGTACATTATGATGCTATTAAAATAATTAAACAAAGCTTGTCTATACCTATTGTGGCCAATGGAGACATTAAAACTTTAAAAGATGCTGAAAACGTTCATCACTTGACAGGAGCAGATGGTAAGATTAAACATACTCTATTTTCTAAGTAAACTTACAAATCAGATTCCAAAGTATTTGTTTTGGCTGTAAGTAGGACATGATTTGAGTGCTTTTCACTCTTTGAGGAGACAAATGAAAGAGGATGTTTTAGATGCCTTATAAACTCATGAACAGAATCACTTGTAATCATCAGAGCACTAGAGCACTGTTATTCAAAGCCACAAATAATGATTTCTGAGGCAAATTACAAAAGCAGTTTGCTTAATTATGCTATCTCATCACTCAGTAGTGGAGTTCAGGAGGACCTTCATAATTCATTCAGTCTCTCTATGAAGCTGATCATCTTCTAAAGAACTGTAAACTTCCACTTGGAAATCTGTACTTCCTGCAAAAGGGAGCAGATATCTTACAGTAAGAATATGGTGGGAAAAGGAAATATTGTTAAGCCAGTTACTTAACAGTTAAGATGATTAACTTAAAGTACACAGTGAAGCATTGGACTCTGAGATCTGTATGTATTTACCTTGTCTTACACTTCAGTGGTAAAATTTTGGGGTAAAGGATTGCCCTGCAGTTATTTAGTCAAAATGGATTCCTGCAACTGTTTATGGTTTCAAGACAATGTGGAAATTCAGTATGTGTTTTGAAGAGGTGATCTCTATCTACACACTTTGGATCTTAACAGCTAAAGAATAACAGGACAGAGAACAGTAGCTAGTGTGAGAAGAAAAAGTTCATGTGGCTTTTGACACTATTGGTATTTAATAGCAGCAACAAAAACTAATTGAACCAAACTGCCATGCTGCTACAGTGACTTTCACCCCAAATACAAAGCAGGAAGGAAATACATAACAGAAAAGAATGTTTTCATAGCCCAGCTGACCTTCTTGAATAAGGAAAATATAAAGCAACAGCTTTTTTCTGTCATGTACAATACAACAGAATTTTTTCTTTTTTGATCATCCTATATTTTAAGGAGAGACTAAGTGTGATAGGTTATATATTGACAGTGCAGGAAAACAGAATCCGTTAATCACAGAAAAATCACGATAGAACTTGTGTGGGTTTATCTGACAGTTTGGGATTACAGTGGCAAATACACTGGCTTGTTCAGAAAGATTTACTGCAGATCAAGAGCCCTGAGATTTATATAATTGAGACACTGATCTCTCACTGGAAGAACGATCCTAGGTCAGTGAATCAGCTGAGTTGCACTAAAAGGAACTAAATTTAATATATTAGTACCCTTGTGTCTTTCCATTGTAGTTTTATGTTAAAAAGGCAGGCTTGTAGCCTTTGCATAGCAAATAAAAACAAAATACTATTGAATTGCAGTTTCAAAAGTAGGGAAGAAAGGCTTCTGTGTCCTGTGTTTTGTTTCAAAAGGAAGGATACATCACCAAGTGGAATGTGTGGGCAGGGGTTGTAGGTACTCTGGGGTTTGGATCATTAAGTGGATTTCTCTGATATAGCTATAATACTCGTCCTTGTTGTTGTCCCATTACTTGTCTGTAAGCTTTGGGTGGTTGTCCTGAGGGGTGCTACACAAAATCTACAGGAAGATTTAATGTAAGATTTAAACCATCATGTAACTTACTGCTTTGATTTCCAATTTGAAGGTGTAATGGCGGCTAGAGGACTCTTAGCAAATCCGGCTATGTTTGCAGGATACGAAGAGACACCTTTGAAGTGCATTCAGGACTGGGTTGACATTGCTCTTGAGCATGGAACTCCTTTTACATGTTTTCACCACCACTTGATGTACATGATGGAACGGATAACTTCAAAACAAGAAAAAAAAGTTTTTAATGTTTTATCAAGTACCTCAGCAGTACTAGATTATCTGAATGACCATTATGGTGTGTGATAACTGAAAGTATTTTTGTTCAATGTAAACTTGTATATTGTTAAAGTCTTAATTGAGCTACAACATACTAGTCACTTTCATACATTGTGTAACTGTTTTCAACATAGCGTAACATTATGATCGGGGTGATACTTCATATTTTTAGTATTGTTACATCAGCATTTTTCATTCCAGAAAATACTCCAGATTCCACAAATGTGGAATTCTTTTTACAATGCACTACCACACAGAGGATTAATTATTGTAAGACTCCAGTAATTTCATTTGGTTTTTTCCTCAGACAATTGCTTAGAGCAATAAGTTTGCAAAACTAGAGCCTTTCTTACGTGAAACCTCCTCAAATCAGAAGCACTGCTCATAAATAATACCAGGCATTTCAGACGAAAAGATTACAGAGGGAGCAATGACAGAAGTTTTTGCTTTAACCGACATAAGCTGTACTTTTAAATTTGAGAAGATTTTTCAAGCTTAGACTGTGAGGCCTTGAAGCTCAGCGTAGTATCGTCTTTTAAATTAGATATTCTTTTTGCAGACTAAAACTTTCAAAACTTACGACTCAGAAAAAATCCACACTCCATATAGTGAAAGAAACCTGGAATACATGAACAAGGACAGAAAGAAGGAAAGAGTAAAATGAAAAGATGGTTGAAACCAAGTACACACTTAGCTGTATCTAAGATACAAGACTTGAAAGTTCAATCTAATCTAACTAAATTCAGTTTTGTTTATCTTCTGCATAATAATTATGTAAAAGATTAAGTCCCAGTCTGCCAAAACAGAACTTTATAGGTCAGAGAAAAGCTGACAGATTCATTGAGGCTCCTGTAGTCCTTTCTGCCTCTTGGCATGTTGCTTATCAAAGCATGACAGCCACTTGGCTCTGAATCTTTGTATAGGAGGGAAATAGTGAAAATTAGAACAAGATAATAAAATTACACACCAGCTGCATTTGTTCTGCAAGGGAAATTTCGCAAATCTGTGCAGTACAATTATTTGTAATCAAATAATTTATTTTCTTTATATGTTTACACAGAAATTCGTACCAAAAATTGCTTCGTTTTCTGACTCTGATACTTCTATGAATATACAAGTGAATAGTTCTAAATTTTCTAAATAAATTACTTGGTTTTGTATACAATTGTAATTTTTTTTTAATTACATTGTAAACTATGACAGCCTGGGGGAGGGGAGGTTGCTTTTGATGCTGCTCGCCAAATCTTTTGATCGTTTAGGTATCTAAATTCTCGCAATTCTTTTAGTGCAATGGCATGCAAGACTCGATCATCTTTCATAGCACATATGTTCTGATTTAGGTCTCCGAACAGACATTCGAAAGGCATGACCTGTGTCATCGAGTCTAGTTCACTGTTTAAGACAGCAAAGTTATGTACCCCTTCTGATATGGTCAGCTTCCAGATGTGTCAACAAGTGGAAAACTACAGAGATGGTTTGCTATCCCAGGCTAATTGAGACAATCTCTACAACCTATTTTGGTGCAATAGGTTCTCCGTTCCTTCAGACAACTATTTTTTTCACTCTTCTGGATTGTAATGTTTTCTTAACATTGGATGAGCACGATTATGTATAGCATTCCAGGTAAAACCCCAGCAATGTCTTCTCTTTCTAATGCCTCACTTTTCCTCAATTAATATTCATCATGTAATTTATGAGCTCCCAGTTTTACAGCAAAAGTTCTTATTTCCCAACTGCATGACATTGTTTTTTGTACTGCTGAATTTCCAGTCTCAAGTTCATCCAACTATAGTGCAATACTCAGTTCTCCTCAGTTCTGAAAATGCCTCCAGCCTTCTGCATCAAAATTAAAAAGTAAAACTGTACAACTGAATTTTAGAAGAAAGGCATTCTTGAAAGTATTAGCCAAGCCATGTGTTAGCATTTTCTTAAGATTTTTATCATTTGGCAAGCAACTATTATTTGCTGTGAACTGTCTTGTTAGTCACAAGGACTAGAGAATAAAAAGTTATTTATTATAGTCAAATAACACAAATGCAAGGCTTTTTTTTTTTTTAATAGTGGTAGTAATTGAATTTTAGAGGACTTGAAATACCTTGACCTATTTAGGATCTGAATACTTGATGATTTTTGAAGGCAGCAGTTGTTATGCCTGTGTGAGATCAATCATAGAGCTTTCTGCCTGAAGTACAAGATCAAGGTTGCTGTTAATATTGCTAGTAATTAAGAAGTGCTTGATCTGGCCAATCATGCATCATAAAAGTCAACAGAAGTTTGTCATCCCTTTTTGAGGGTGAAATGAATTGTACATCTTCTTCCCTTGTGAATTTTGTATGCATCTGAACACACTTCACTGTGTTGATGCAGAGTAAACTGCAAAATTGGAGTCTTAAAGCCATGTGCTGAAAAACCATACTGTTCACATATACATAAATTGCTAAAGATGGGAGTTAGTTATTTAACTCACAGTGGTGTTGTAGAATGTGGTCATGTTTCTCATGATAAGCCATGTGAATATGGGAAAATTCTCATCTCCAGTTTGAAGCCACTGGTTATATTCCTTCCCTGTATGTGTTACTCGTAACATCACCAGGTACTGAGTCTTTCTGTTTTCTAACTTTCAAATTTTTAAAAATTACCCTTCAAGTAACGTAAGATACAAAGCTTTGTTTCCTATTTTAGGTGCTTTACCTCCTGTAACTGATCCAGCTCTTTATGTTAAGCCACCCTGCGAAATAATGCCATGTTCGCATAATACCTGAACTTTCTTGCAACTTCTACCCTGCTTAGGTAGAAGTTAACCCCAGCTCCCTCATGCAGCCTGTACAGTCCCATTTTCTCTATTCCCTACTGTTAAGTTGTTTCTTAGGTCTGCTCTCTGTCTTGAGTTGATGGTTGGATAAATGCAGTGACAGATGAGACAGCTGTCATACAAGCCGAACTAGAATGGAACAAGTTGAAACTTTCTCTTTGACTTTCTTTCAGCAGAGAATTAGTCAGACTTCTGTCTTCTAAGCAGCTTCTAATACACAGGCATTTTGTATATCTACCTCTGAATACTTCATCACCTTACTGGTGGGAGAGGAAGGTATTTCTTTTAGCTGTAATGTTTAAGGTTCATGAGGTTTTTTTCCTAAAGCAGACAGCCATTATATATATTGTATGGCATCATATTTATTATTACACTGTGGTAGGCTGTAAGATAGGCAGCCTTAGATCAACAACCCAGGCTTCTACATCTTCAGTTAGAATACCTTCCAGGAGTGGCAGAGTGCCCTCAACAGGAGAAGGGAGATCTCACGGATGTTTGCAGGAGGCTTCTCTATGTTCTTTGGATCTCATTACAGGTTGATGGGGAACACGCATCATCTGCAGTGGAAGTGTACGGCAGTCACTGCAGAGTGAGTCTTTCTGAGGTCTTAGGAAGCCTCTGAAGTGAAAAGGCGGACTCAGAGTCTCTGGCAGTGGGGATATGCAAATATGGTCCTATCAGTGTGAGGCTAGGCTACTGGGAGGGCAGCTTACAGCGCTAGTAAGAGGTGAGAAGGCAGCTCAAAAATGGAAACTGCTCTGGAATTAAAGTAGAGGAAGTCTTTGATAACATTTTAACAGCTTCAATAAACTATAATGGCTGTAGGCCAATAGCTAAAACGTAATAACATACTAAGAGGTTATGTTTTGTCTATGTTTCTGATTAAATATGTTTATGAAAACATGTTAGAAATACTTCTTGAAACCCAGGCTGTTTTCACAGTGTAGACTGGATTGAAATGGCTGGGTTTATCACTCTCCAATATTTGTTATTCATGAACAATTATTTGGGATGTAACCTTTCATCCAGACATTGCTTGGCAGCAGCTAGGAAAATGTTAACACACTGGCTCCATCCCCAGGCTACAGCCCTGGGAAATTTTAAGTGTAAACAATTTGAGATTGTGAGTAGCAGCAAACAACTCTGCTCAAAACTCTTATGCAAGAATTTGCTACCCCATTTCAGTTCCAATGGTAACAAAGTAACAAAGAGCTACTATTCACAGCATTTAATCTGTCTCATTTTGGTGGAAATTAGTTGACAGAATTCCCAAAAGCAGGTAGCTGTGTCAAGAGGGCTGGTGATGCCCAGCCAGATAAGGTAACCTCTTCCACCAGCAGCACCTCAGGATCTCATAAGGCTTCAGGCAAGTCAGTAAGCTGCTGAGTGGGCTCTGGCCTGAGCTGCCTGAACAGGGGCCAGAAAACTCCTGGATGTGACACGTGAAATGGCTGGACGGGACATGCGACTGTGTGAGAAACTGGCAAAAACTGCAGATAGCGCTGGGATGGATGGCTGGCTTTCACCGGCAGTTAAGGGGGAGTTATGTGAAAAACAACTGAACTACACAGATAACTGGAGAGTAGTTTTGGATGTTCTTTCGGGACTAGAAACTTGCAGGGCCAAGAGTGCCTGATAACCTTATCACTACCTCAATAACGCCATGTAAGGCCAAGTCTGCCTAAATAACAGTATCAGAAATACCGGATATGGGTACAGATACTGAAAAACTAGGAACAACAGGGGAAAGTGATTAGGGGAGGGTTATGCCGGGGCAAAGAAGGGCCGTTACAAGGGTGGCAAAAGAGGTGGTCAAGAAACGGGAAAACGGGTACCGAGGTACGGATATAACGCGGTCGGAGCCTCGTTATGCTGATAAAAAGAACTGCACAGGTCAGTAGGACAGGACGGCGGGAGCCTCCAGCTCCACCGGGGCGGGACCAGAGAGGACCCTTCCCTCCGCTCGGGGCTG